TAAAATCACCTACTATTACTGAGTCAGGGTTAATCTGTGTCTTGAAATCCAATAGTATGCTTTTTATGAAATTGGTTTCACCAGAGTTTGGTGCATACATGTTTAAGATTGCAGTAGCTTCTTGGTTAATTGCTCCCTTGATCTGAATAAAGTGTCCTTCTTTATCTCTTCTGAGTAATTTTACTATTTCGCCAAATATTAGGATAGCATTGCCTGCTTGTTTCTTAGTCCCATTTGCCTGGAATACTTTTTTCCATCATTTCATTCTAAGGTGGTGCCTATCCTTAAATGTAAGATGTCTATTTTTTGCATTTTTATTGAATTTTTGCAATTTTGATGCAATATAATTTGTTGACATTTATATCCCCTCTCCCATCCACACCTCCCTACACCCTCACCCCTAACTAAATTCAATGTACTTTCTCTGTATAATAAAGCCTATGGAGTCTAACTTGAATCCCCAAATGTTCTCCAGTGTGGGTTCATCCACTGGGGCTTGCATAGGATTTGCTCATGCTGTCACCATTGCTGTGAGTTCATATGAGTAACTGACCAGCTGTCTGGAGAACTCTGCTCTGCCCCCATGGTCATCCACCACCTCTGACTCTTACATTCTTTCCATCTCCTCCTCTGCAATGATTTCTAAGCCTTGACCTCCAGAACCCTGACAGAGGTGTTCCACTCAGAGTTATCTCTGCAGCCCCTTCCTCCTCACACATTAGAAAGTTGTAAGTTTCTGTGTCAATCACCATCTGCTTCATGAGGAAACTTCTCCAGTGAGAGGTGAAAGATGCATTAATCTTCAACAGTGGGTGAGTACCTGATCCAGCACTACCCACTCCAATCATCCATCCTGGGACTGGGAGTCCATATTATTATGAGGGTACCACTGTTATATCTCACAGGAGGGGACCACAGCTCCATATCACAGGAGAGGACCACAGCTTTATCTCGCAGGAGGGGACCACAGTTCCAGCTCACAGGAGGGGAACCATAGCTCCATAAGATGAGTGTCTTATAGACAACAAAAGGATTGATTTTATTTCATTTGGTTAACACGTTTACTAAAGTTTTACTTGTGCATAGTTAGCATTGTTGTGAGTTCATACGAGTAACTAAGCAGCTGTTTGAAAAACTGTTTCCTTGAGGTCATCCACCACCTCTGGCTCTTACACTCTTTCTGCCCCCTCTTCCACAATGATCCCTGAGCCTTGGGCGGCACAAGTTTGACATAGGTATCCTATTCAGGGATAAGCACTCTGCAGCCTTTTATTCTCTGCACATTGGCCAGTTGTGTGTTGCTGTGTTAACTACTACCTGCTGTATAAGGAAACCTCTGAGAACTGAGAAATGGATTATTATATGGGTATAACATTAAGTCATTAGGAGTCAGTTTAATATATCAACTATTTAGTAGAAAACTAGAATTAGACTTTCACCTATGTCCTGTAACCTGTCTAGCCTCAGATTCCCAAGCCTGATACCAATGTCCAGAATGGGCTCTATCCTAGGAAGCAGACCATAAATCTAATTAGAGAGTGGTTGGTTACTCCCATAATATTTGTGCCACAATTGCACCCGTGGGCATATCTTGACAGGTCAGTTGTTGTTATAGGATTCACAGGATTCACAGCTGGGTAAAGTTGATGATTATTTTTTCCTTCTGGTACCATGCATAGCACCTTCCAGCACTATCAACACTAGTCAGTGGAGATGAGGCTCTGAAGTCTGCACCAGCTTGATTTCTCCATGTTTGTTCTACAGCTCTTGTATGTAGTATCTTAAGAAATAGGGTCTTATCAAGTAAGATAACCAAGAGCAGAGGCAATGGCCAGTATAGTTTGAGGGTCTATGGAACCCCTGGTTAACAGCTTCTAGAGAAGGAGTCCATTCCTGGCTTTGAGGGGTTTTATTTGCTTTTTCATTAGCTTATGGTGTCTAGAAGGGGCAATGTCCCCTGTTTAGGGTAACTCCTTTTAATCTCTTTTTATAATGCATATGTATATAGTTTAAGAATCTTCTGTAGTTGTAGGTTTCCATATGGCTTTTTCTAAAGATCTCCAGTGTTACCTATTCCTCCCCATACTCCCTCTGCCCTGCCCTCCCATTCCCCATCCCATTTAACCCTTCCTACACTAATGTTCCCCTTTCCCCCTTCATATCACTGCATTCTCCCACCCCTCCCAAAGAACCTCACTCCCAATTTTCTTTTTTTTTTAATATTTTGTTTATTTATTCTTTTATGTATATGAGTGTATTGCCTGTATGTATGTAAGAACACCCATGTTGTGCAATGCCTGTGGAGGTCAGAAAAAGGTGCTGAACCCCTGGAACTGGAGTTGGGAATGGTTGTTAGCCTCCATGTGTGTTCTAGGAACTGAACCTGGGTCCTCTGCAAGAGCAGCCAGTACTTTTAACCACTGAGCCATATCCTCCAGACCCCAAAATTTGTTTCATTTGCTGATTTGTGTTTTGACAGGGTCTCACAAACCCCAGCCCGCCTGGAACTCACCATGAAGACCAGGCTGGCCTCAAACTCACAGAGATCTACCTGCCTCTGCCTCCCGAGTACTGGGATTAAAGGCATGCACCACTATGCCTGGCCTGATTCTCAATGCACTCAACTAACCTGTATCTTTTGATTCGAGAGTCGAGAACATTAAGGTTTAAAGTTATTATTGAAAAGTGTGTGTTGATTACTATCTTTGTCATTTATTCATTTATTTATTTGCTGTTTGTGTTCTTAGGCCTATCTTGCATTACAGTAGTTATAGCTTCATTTCTTTTCTTTCCATAGCTTCTTGACTGTGTTTATCCCTCCTGTCAGTCCATAGTATTGCTTTCAGCATTCTCTCTAGGGCTAATTTGTTGGACATGAATTTTTTTATATTGTTCATATAATGGAAGGTTTTTCTTTATCCTTCAATGGTGGCAGTTAGTTTTGCTGGGTAAAGTAGTCTGGGTTGGCACCTGTGGTCTTTTAGAACTTGAAGTACATTGACCTCAGTTCTTCTGACTTCTAAAGTTTCCATTGCAAAGTCATCTGTTATTCTGATGTGTTTATAGCTTTCAATACCCTTTCTTTGACCTGTATAACTAGCGTTTTAACTATAGTGTGGCATGAGGGGTTTCTTTTCTGGTCCTGTCTATTTGGTGTTCTGTGTGTTTCTTTTATCTGTATGGGTATACCTTTTCTTACTTTGGGGACATTTTCTTCTACGATTGTTGGGAAACCCTGCTGTTAGGGTTGTAGTTCTCCATGTCCAGATAGCCCTAAGGGGCTCGGTGCCAAATGGAAGGACTCCCCTTTTCAGCAGGGGTCCTCCTGCTCTCTTCCTGGCTTACCTGGAAAGTGCCACCAAACATGGATGCCTGACCTTATTTGGAACATGACCTTTGGCATAGTTACCTGGAGTAAAAACTACCCCCAGGTTTTTTCTATATGATAATCAGGCATTGCCTGGTAGTCGGAGGATAGGAGCCCACTACCACATGTAAATAAAGCATACTGTGAGCACCTATCAGCTGAGGCTTTGGCTACTGCCTCCACACTATAATTTCTCTAGTTCCTCCACTGAATAAACGGAGCTGTTTCACTGAGTCTGGAGCTGTATCACTGCTGTTTCACTGCACCGTGGGACTAGCCTCCCCGGAAGGGCTTTCTTCTGTCAGTGCTCACTGGCCGTCCTGACTCCGTTCGCTGCTTCTGCTCCCCCTGCCCTCGTGGACCAGTGGCCAATGACCCACGAAGAGAGGGAGAGACCCCCGCATATGATCTTGTTGAAGACCTGGTTTATGCCAGTGATATGGGATTTTTCTCATTTATGACCTAATTCATAAATTTAGTCTTTTCATGGTGTCCCAAATTTCCAGCATATTTTTTCCTACATTTTAATTTTTTTCATGTTCTTTGGCTGAGTGGTCCAATTCCTCTACTTTATCTTCAAGTCCTGATATTCTGTCTTCTACTGATCCGTTCTATTGGTAAGACTTTACCCTGAGTTTTCTAATTGGGTTATTGAGTTTTTCAATTCCATCTTTATTTCAGCTTGAGGTTTTTGTTGTTGTTTTAACAATACCACTGAGCTGTCCTTGGTACATTTCTTTTTTTGGTCTTTTTGAGACAGCGTCTCCCCATAGCTCCAGCTGTCCTGGAACTCACTATGTAGACCAGCCTGGCCTTGAACTCACAGAGATCCTCCTGCTTCTGCTTTCTGCATACTGGGATTAAAGGTGTATGCCACCGTGCCCAGCCTGTCTTCTACTGGCAAAGTGGCAAAGCTTTCCCCTGAATTTTCTAATTGGGTTATTGGGTCTTTTAATTCCATCTTTATTTCAGTTTGATTTTTTTTTCAGTATTTCTGCATTTTCACTAAATGCAGTTTTCAAATCCTGACTTGTCTTCATCTTTTTTTGTTGCTATTTATTTGGGGTTTTTTTTGAGACAGGGTCCCCCTGTAGCCCCAGCTAGCCTGAAATTCACCATGTAGACCAGACTGGCCTTGATCTTGCATAGATTCATCTGCTCCTGCCGCCTGAGTGCTGGGATTAACAGCACGTGCCCCCACCAGCCTGGCTGTATTAATTGTTTTATTCAACTATGTATTTTTATTTCCTTGGCGTTCATTTAAGAATTTACTCCTGTCTTCTTTGAGTTCATTGAGGTGTTTTTTTCTTGAAATTTTGTGAATTCTTTGATAATGTTTATGATTGTTCTTTTAGTTTCTGAATCTGGGTTCTTAGGTAATTCTCACTGTAGAACATTTCTATGGGACAGTGAGCTGAGGGGTGCATATTGTCTTGGTCTTTCCTATTGTTTATGTTTTGCAAAATGGCCTAGATATGTTGATTTCTTTTGTTGGTTTTGTGTCTGATAAGAAATTTTAGCCTGTCTTTTTGGGTGGAAGTTTGGTTTTGGTCTTGTTTTTTAAGGTTGGTAGATTTCAGATCAGGTATGGAGAGTTACTAAGTCAGTCCTTCAGATGCTGATTTTTTTTCTAAAGGGGAGAGCACCAACACAGTCTCTACTACCACAAATACAATCCAGTTTTTCACATTTGGGAAACTGGAGGGGCAGCATATCCAGAGTGCCATAGATGAGCCTCACCCTGGGAAAACCACCTTTGTGATCATGGTGTCTCCCCTGCCATGTAAGTATTCCTCTTTTGACTGGAGGGATGGAGGTGACACCAATATAGTAGTAACCAAGGAAGTGCAAACATGACTTCTGGCTGAGTCTGCCTAAGGTGAGTAACTACAGCTAGGCCTCAGAGTGTGGGGACAGAGGTGGGGGCAGGCAAGGTTCCAGCTGCCTCACCAGACTGGCTGTGTGAGCTTTGTGCCATCCAAGATAATCCTGGGAGTGTGGTTATGGGGGGGGGGGCTTGGTTTTTGTTTGGTTGGTTTTGGTTTCAGTTTTTTATTTTTCTTTATTTATTTTAATGTTTTTTGCCAGCATGCATGGAAGTACACCACATGCATGCAATGGCCACAGGGGCAGAAGAGGGCGCAAGATCACCTGGAACTGGATTTAGGAGTGCTTGTTAGCCAAGGAACCCATCCTCTGCATAAGCAGCCAGTGCTCTTAACTCATGAGCCAGCTCTCCATCTCTCATTTTGTTTCTTGAAACTGGATCCCATACTGTACTCCCAGCTGGTCTTTAATTCACCATTGTAGCCTGTGTTGGCTTCAAATTAGTTGAAAATCTCCCTGACTCAGCCTCCCAAAGCTGGAATTACAGGCAGAGGAAGACTCTTAAACGATACCACATGCGGGCCTGGAGAGATGGCACAGCAGTTAAGAACACTGGCTGTTCTTGCAGAAGACCCGGGTTCGAATCCCACCACCCACATGGAAGCTAACAACTGCTGTAACTCAAGTTCCAGGGGATCTGACAGCCTCTTCTGCCCTCTGTAGGCATTGCATGACATGGGTGCAATTACCTACATGCAGGCAATACACACACACACACATAAAATTAAAATAATAAATTTAAAAAAAAAAGATATCACATGCCAAACTGGAGAGACGGATCAGTGGTTAAGAGCACTGACTGCTCTTGCAGAGGACCCAGGTTCAATTCCCAGCACCCACATGGCTTCAAACAACCATCAGTAATCCCAGTTCCAGGGGATCTGATGCATTCCTCTCATGACCTTCTGACCTCCATGGGCATTGGACAACATGGGTGCACTTAAACACATGCAGGCAATACAAAATTAAAAATAATAAATTGACTTTTTCTTTTTAGAAGAAGCATTTCATTACAGCTTTAACATACTTATTAACAGTATTGAGACCAAAAATACAATCTATTTCAAAAGTGGCTATAAAATTTTTAGGTTTGCTGTTGAAATAATACAGTTATACAATATCGAACTCAGTATAACCCCATAAGACATAAATTGAATGAGTTTTTAACCTTTAAAAAAGATCTCCATTTTAATTTAAAATATACCATTTCTTACAGAAACCCTCATTGTTGTTGCTCATAAAACTGAGATGTTGATGCATGCATCTCTAATCTGTATGTATCTGATTATTACCAGTCATAATTGGTTGCACTCAGATCCTTGGTACTTGTGCATGTCTATAAAGTCATCGGGTAGATTTTAATGGTAATGTTTATCATCTCTACTATTTAACATTACATAAACTTTTATGATTCCTCCTCAAACACAATGCATTTTTTAATTTGTTGATTTGTGTGTGTATGTGTGTGTATCACACAGAACACCCCAAACCATCTTATTCAACTGTACACCCACTTCCCATATGGCACCCTCCCATAGCCTCTCTCCCCCCACTAGAGCCCTTCTACTCTGTTATCCTTGCTACTGTCTGCTGTGTTGTCGGCACCCCAGCCATTCCTCACTACTTATCCATCTGGTGAATCTAGTCAGCCTATCTAGCAGACTTTGTTTTAGAAAGGTCAGCTCTTCCTCATCTAACAGCAATCGGTTGTCAATATTCCTTTAGATAAGATTGGGGTCTGCTGTTCAGTTTCCAGTTCTATGCTAGGTTATTATCTGGGAGTCCGTTGGGCCACCCTGGCCAACAACTCAAAAGAAGTTATCTCCTATCTGCCATTGTTGCTTGTTATGTAGCCTTTAGCTATACATACGGACTCTTAAAAATTATATTGGCCCTTTTAATCTTTGGCTATATTTTCCTTTTGGGTGTTTAAGGCCATACAGTTGGCCCAGATAAACCAATTTATTTTTACTCTTAAGGCCATTTGAGGATCTGTTCCTCAGGGGTCACATGGACTTGGGAGGAGGCCCTGGCTCCTTTCTTTTACCAGTTCCACCTATGTGAAGATAAGTCAAAGGTCCTGCTTGACCATGGTTGGCTTTGCTTGGAAGCATGGAGGAAATGTTTCCTCTGTGTTGACCCTCTTCTTTGTAGATGGGACACTGGTTCAAGTCCAACTCATGGGGTCTTCTCAGCTTCCTTGATCAAGAGGACAGGTGACCCACCACAATTACAGGACACTTTGAGAGACACTCATAGTCCCCTGGAACTAGTCGACCTGGGAGGGCAAGGAGCAAAAACTGTCCTTTATATCCCTCTGACCAAATTAGTATAGGCCTCAAAGTATGTCTGTTAAACATCCAAGAAGGTTAGTTCCACCAGTCTGTTACTTTTAATTACTGTGTGCCATGTAGATTAATCTTGGGCAAAGACCAATTGTTCTCAGATAAACCTTGCCTAGACATATATTTCTTGATGTGCTATGTATAATTTGTCAGTAAGTTATTGGAGTAATATGGTTCCCTCTGGTTTCTAAAACTAGCTAGGCATTATTTATCTGTCGCATTGTCTAACCCCACCATCATGGTTTCCCCATTTAAGGTGCCCCCATTTTCCCCCTTTCTCCCTTAATAATACCCTCCTCCTATGGTCCTACTTCTCTTGAGTTCCTTCTTTCCCTTTATCCCCTAGGTTCCTTGTATATTCTTCCCTCCCCCCTCCCTTAAACTAATGCCATTTTTATCCATATCTCCCTTAGTAACTCCTGTTTCCTACTGTTCTTCTCTTTCGGGCTCTTTCTTTTCCTTTACCTCCCTGGTTCCTTTCCATTATCCTGGTTCCTGTAGTTATGTGTAAATACATACTCACTTATCAGGATTTGGTTCTAGGATCATTATATGAGGGGGAACATATGTCGATTTTTTTTTCTGAGCCTGTGTTACTTCAGTTAGTATAACAGTTTCCAGTTCCATCCATTTACCTGCAAATTTCATGATTTCATCTTTCTTTACCACTGAGTAGAACTACATTGTGTAATTGTCCCGCTTCCATCTCTTAGCTATTGTGAAAAGAGCAGCAACAAACATGGGTGTACAAGTGTCTCTGCAATAGGATGAGTTCTTTGGATATATGCCAAGGAGTGGTATAACTAGGTCAAATGGTAGGTTCATTTGTAGTTTATTAACAATTCTCTGCACTGCTTTCCGTAAGAGTTGAACAAGTTTGCAGCCCCACCAGCAGTGGATGAGTGTTCCCCACATCCTCTCCAACATTTGATATAATTTGTTCTCTTAATCTTAGCCAGTCTGACTGGGGTAAGACAAAATCTTAAAGTGGTTTTAATTTGCGTTTCCCTAATTACTAGTGATGTTGAACATCTTTTAAGATGCTGCTTAGCCATTTTACTTCTTCTTTTGAGAACTCTCTCTTCAGCTCCTTAGTCCATCTTTTAATTGCATTACTTCCTGCCTTAATTCTCTCTTTTTTGAGTTCATTATACATTCTGGATGTTAAACTTCTGTCAGATGTGTTGCTGGTGAAGATTTTTTCCCATTCTGTGGGTTTTCTCCTCACTTCTGTGGTTACCTCCTTTGATGTATAGAAGATTTTTAGTTTAATGAGGTCCTATTTGTTGATTCTTGACCTTGTTTCCTGAGCAGTTGATACATTTAGAAAATCCTTTCCTACACGTATATCTTGTAGGTTTTTGCCAACGTATTCTTCTTACAGTTTCAGAGTTTCAGGCTTTACATTGAGGTGTTTGATCCATTTGGAACTGACTTTTGTGCCGTGTGAAAGATAGGGGTTTAGTTTCATCCCCCTACAGGTGGAAATCCAGTTTTGCCAGCACCATGTGCTAAACATGCTGTCTTTCCTCCAGTGAATATTCTTGGCCCCTTTGTCAAATATCAGGTGGCTAAAATTGGATGTACTCATATTTGGGTCTTCAATTTTGTTCCATTCATCTATGGGTCTATTTATGTTCCAGTACCATGTTGTTTTTGTGACTATAGCTCTGTAATAGAGCTTAAAATCTGGTATAGTAATCCCCCTGGCATTGCTCTTAGTGCTCAGGGTTGCTTTGGCTATCCGAGGTCTTTTGTGCTTCCATATGAATCTTAGGATTTTTTCTTTACAGTTCTGTGAAAAATGTCATGGGCATTTTGATTGGCATTGCATTGAATCTATAAATGGCTTTTGGTAGGATGGTCTTTCTCACAATATTAATCTTTCCAATCCATGAGCACGGGAGGTCCTTTGATCGTCTGATATCTTCCTCAATCTCTTTCTTTAAAGATTTAAAATTTTCATTGTAGAGGTCTTTAATGTCTTTGGTCAGGTTTATTCTGAGATTTTTTTTTTTGCAGCTATTGTAAAGGGGAATGTTTCCATGTACTCTTTCTCTGATTGCTTGTTATTGGTATATAGAAAGGCTACAGGCTTTTGTAGGTTAATTTTGTAACCTGCCACTTTACCAAACGTGGTAATAATTTCTAGGAGTTTTCTGGTGGAATTTTTGGCGTCTCTTAACTATAATATCATATCATCTGCAAAAAGGGATAAATTTCATCTTTTCTTTTCCAGTTATTACTCCTTTATTTTCCTGCTCTTGTCTTATTGCTCTTGCAAGAGTTTCAAGTACTATGTTTAAGAGATGTGGAGATAGTGGACAGCCTTGTCTGGTTCCTGATTTCAATGGGAATGCTTCCAGCTTTTCTCCATTTAGAATGACGTTGGCTGTGGGTCTGTTATAATGGCTTTAATTATGTTGAGGTATGTTCCCTCCAGTCCAATTCCCTCTAGGACTTTGAACATAAATGCATGTTGAATTTTG